TCTCCTCGTCAGCTCCTCTATCACTGAAGATGGGCCATTCTGACAGACAAGTTCTTAGCCAAAATAATCTTACTAACTCCCACCAAAACTAGTTTTAGAATTAATAAATGTTCAATGTTACTTCCTTGTGCAGAAATGGGTTTTGCACAAGATGCAGGAGCAAGAAAGAAAGGAATCCTTGTTTTCAGTTGCTCTTGCCCTCACACATTTAAAGAGATTTTGGTCAGTAGATCCACACCAAGTATGAGAAAGGAAATGAGAACATGGCCATAAACCAAACAGTTATCTAAACACCTTCTCACTGTACAGCTGCTACTACAGAAAGCCCGTTTGCACTGTTACCCCAATACACTGGAATCCTTACCCTCATGCTTCCACCCACCATCTCACACTGTGAGAGACCTTATCTTGAGTTGTCTCAAAGCTTGCTGACAAAATTGTGAAACTTCCTGTTGGCTTGGCAGCAGGGACTGCCTGCGGGCCTGAACAGATAAGGGCCAAATGGCCTGCCAACAGATGCAAATAGCCTCTGGAGGCCAGTTCGGAGCAAGGACAAAGAAAAATGACATCGCTTCATGGGAGGGTCCAGACACAGAGGATGCCCAAGCCTGCCAAAGCATCCAAGTGGTGACGTAGGGGTCCTGTGCACCCCATGAGATCAGCTGCTGAAAGAGTGCGCAGGAGGCAAGAGTCAGCAAAAAAAATCTCCTATAAAAAAAACGTGAAACCAAACAGCGATGAGGGACCCTCCCCACCGAAGACTAGGGACCAACGGGACACCTCTGGATCCATGGTGGTGACTATCTCTTGCAATTCTATCCCAACCGCTTGCTAAATTTTCCCCCTTTTCTATTTTCTCTCTCTCCTATTGCTACTTTCTTACAACAAAAATAAAATCCTTTGTTAGCGGCATCTGACCTCATTTGTGTCTTAATCTCACTCTGGGTACAACAACAAATCTCCCCCTTCACGGTACACACACACACACCAACCATGAGTGAAAGAAACTTGAGTGTGAATTTGCCCCATAAGGAATGACACATTATTTCTGTATCTCTCCATATATGTAGACACACCCGTAAGTGGCACTTAACATCCATACGGAGAAGTACTGAGCACTGCACATCCTGCTACCACCAGAAAATTAGTAGCACTCACATGGGACCCATACCTCAGTGGCCTGGTCACATGTGGGTGTAGTGTATTAGGGGAAAGACACTTTTGACCTAGCTGTTCTACCAACATCTCAACGCTGTGACAGGTCATCTTAATTTTAAAAAATATGTATTTCATAATCTCTACTTCTGCCTCTCCCAGCTGGTAAGAAAAAAAAAAAGATTTCTCAATCCACACCACCGCAGACATTACAGAACACACAAATCATAGGATCATTTAGGTTGGAAAGGACCTTTAAAATCATAGTTGTGGGAAACAGTGTCAAAGGCTTTACTAGAGCCTACCTAGACACTATCCACAGCCTTTCCCTCATCCACTAAGCAGGTCACCTTGTCACAGGAGCTCAAGCTGGTCAAGCAGGACCTGCCTTTCACAAACCCATACTGACTGGGCCTGATCACCTGGATGTCCTGTATGTGCTGTGTACTCAGGATGATCTGCTCCATTATTACCGAGGTCAGACTGACAGGCCTATAAGTCTCCAAAGCCTCCTTCCAGCCCTTCTTGCAGGTAAGTGCCATATTTGCTAACCTGGAGTCAACTAAGACCTCCCCAGCAGCAGGGCTGCTGACAGATGATGGCAAGTGGCATGGTGAGCACTTCTGCCAGCTCCCTCAGTACCCTTGGCTGGATGCCATCCAGACCCACAGACCCGTGTGTGTCAGCCCACAGACCCGTGTGTGTCAGGGGTGTAGCAGGTCACTGATTTTCCCTTGGATTGTGGGGGCTTCATTCTGCCCCCCCTTCCCTGTTTTCTAGCTCAGGGGGCTGGGTGCCCAGAGAACAATTGGTTTTACAATTAAAGACTGAGGCAAAGAAGGCATTAAGTACCTCATCCTCTTCCTCTGTCACTATGTCTCCCTCAGCATCCAATAAAGGATAGAGATTCTCCTTAGCCCTCCTTGTTGTTAATTTATTTTATAAACATCTTTAATTGCTTTTTTACAGCAGAGGCCAGATTAAGTGCTAGTTGGGCTTAGGCCCATCTAATTTTCTCCCTGCAAAACCTCACAACATCCTTGTAGTCTTCCCAAATTGCCTACTGCTTCTTCCAGAGCTTGTAAACTCTTCTTTTTGGAGTTCCAGCCAAAGCCTTCTGTTCAACCAGTCTGGCTTTCTGGCCCTAACTTCTGATGTGTAACACAATTATAAGCACAAAAACACAGTGCTGCACTTATCTGCAAGCAGTACAGATCCCTAATGTACACAAGTATACCATTTCTATTTTTATATATATGTCACTTGGAATCTGAGGCCAGGTCTTCATAGGAAACTCAAAATTCTTAGCTATCATTTCTTAATCCAGAAATCCTGTCAATGTAGTAGCAACCCAAAATCCAGTTCTATTTTCCTTAAGACAGGCCATAATCAAGGTATTATCCACATCCTCAGATTGAACTAGCTCATCTAGCATCTGAAATGTTACTGCAAGCCTCAAAGACAGTACATTACTTGATTAGAACCAGAGTTATCCTTCTCAATTCAGATATCAATACTTCATGTTTAGAACCCTGACTTCTCTCTGGAACACACTTCCCAAAGGTCAAATACATATACTGATTAATAAAAGAATAAAAAGATAAATACGGAATGAGGAATGGAAGGCACAGATGCACTAGTACCTCACAAATACAAGTTTGATAAAAGTACTCAAAAAGACAGTTTATATAATCTGCTCAGTACCAACACTGTTGGTTTGAGTACATGTGCTTCTTACACATTACGAGCAACAGTGCATGCCAGACCAATATAAAAACTCTGTGATAATTCTGTACTTTCAAGCTTGCTTCACAATGATTTAGTAGCTTTAAAAAAATGAAGGCATATAGTCTGAATTAATCACTTTCCCCCCTTCCCCCACCCTCCATGATAATTTTATATTTGATCTGCAAATGTGGGAGAATGGAGATTATGCCAAAGGACCTAAAGCTAATCACTGCTTTCTTGAAAGGTCTGCGTACACCCACAAGACTGACAGTAACAAAACCATTCATGAATCCTGGTATTTTCAGTTCTCTTCCATTTGTAAAGCTCTACCCCTGTATCTTTCCCAAAATTAGCATGTTTACAGTGGATGCATCACTTCGTATTACATTAAAACATAAACTCAAAGCCAGTAAAACCCGTTCAAGAGCATGTTTGTGGTCAAAAAGTGGAAAGCTCTCCTCTTAAGAGATGCAATCCACCTTCGTAAGAAAAACGGGAAGCCTTCCTGCCATTTGCTTACTGCTATACAATAGGCAGAATGGGGGGTAAATACTTCTTGTTTTAAAGCTTTAAAAAATACTCTAAGATACATTTAATTTTTCATATGCAACTTAGAGCAGCGACTAACAGCACGGCCTGCTAGCTAAGTATCAGTTACTCCAAGCTCCCTCCCCCAGTCTCTTACATACCCACAGGAGCACAGCTGACAAAGGCACTTCAAGGATGGTGATCCTACACACAAAGGCGCAAGCAACATAGGAGACATGTTTGCTAAGCAAAGCAGTTATGGACCAGGTCTGTCCAGCAGAAGCTTTCAAGCCCCTTCCAACAGGGCGTGGATGACCAGGACATTACCAAGGCAACAAGCCTCTGTGAAGTCATCAGCACCAAGCTCTAGAATCCACGTGTGCAAGGAACATGGGCTGGGCCTGTTCCATGGCAGTGGGGTTGGAACTAGATGATCTTTAAGGTCCCTTCCAACCCAAACCATCCTGTGATTCTATACAAGCAATTGCTAAGGCCAGACCCAGCTGCCTGACCATTAGATCAACACGTAAATGGGCTACTGAAGAAGCCCTTCCCTCTTCGCTGTTAACGTGTTAGCAGCCACACTACAGCTTCCACAACCAGCCACAAAAGTCTCTTTTCATAAAGCCTGTCAAATTCCGCTTTAAAATGAAGATGTCAGAGGTTGAGATTCTTCTTAAAACCTATTTGCAACCAGTTTTAGAAGGCAGGAGGAGAAAGATATACCAGAACAGAAAATAAACCTTAGAGTTTGTATGCACGGCGAAGTAAACACTTCGGGTTATGAGTCAGTACTTCTACAATGAGAAGTTTGCCTGCTGGAATCTCAACTTTTGTGTTCACACAAGGTCCTAAATGTATTAAAGTGTCATTAACACTACAAGTGACTTTTTTACAACTTTAGTGTAAAACATTTATTCAGTAACATATCTAGAGGCACATCAGCAGAAGTTTATATAAAAGAAGCACCCTCTACCAACACACAGATCTGACGGCAATATCAACCAGAAGTTTCATTAAGAGGAAAAATCCAATTAATGTAGGGCACCAAGTAAAATCTGAGGGTGGAAATTAGGGGCAAGATAGAGACACCAAAGATTTCACTATGTCTCACGAGAGACTTCATTTTTCCATTTTCTTAAATTATGCCACCAACTCAACACCTGCTATTTTTTAAAGACACACTTCAGAAGGAATATATAGTTCTGTACATAAATGATGGGCTGCCTGTACCTAGAATGCTGCTACGGATGACACGAAACAGGAAGAAATAGAGCAGAAATTGACACTCAAACAAGGAGACTGGAACAGTCTCAACAAAAAACAGAAAGGAGGGCAACTTCTCCATCTAGGCAGTGCTTGGAGCAGATGCTACAGGCTTAAATAAACCATAATTGTGTTACTATGGTTATACTTCTGCTTTACAAATTCTATCCTGATGATGGTTCCTCTGTGCCCGCCTTCTCATTCAACTGCTCTTCATCTGGAAAAAAAAAGTGTATTAGTTAGCACTCTGTAATTCAGTTGATAGAAATACTGCTCCAGAAGTGTTGGGCATATATTAAAAAAGCACGTATGAAATGCTACTTCTAATTTTGGTAACTGTTCCAAGTAAAGATAATCATCTGCTATCAGTACAGCCACAGTTTTAAGCAAAAGCTAAATTGCAGCCAAGTCTTTGCACAAAATCTCACTACTCCTGGATACTAGCTCGTGTTAACTCCTAATACTCCATTAAATACCACATGCTTTGGTGAAAGTCTTCTGAGTAGCCATTACTGTCACATTCTTACTAACGCATTTCAAAAACCAACCTCACACGTAACTAAACACTGCAGTACTAGTTAAGCAAAGCTGGCACTTCTGTTGGAAGCGAGGTGAGGGGGGAGGCAGGCTAGAACGCAGGATACTTTATTCATGCACTTTTTATTATGAAATATTACAGACTATGAACACCTGACTGACCTTTTAAGAGTTCCAGTTACCTACAACACATTCCTAAAGAGCCAAATTTGTTCAGAGTAAAAAACTATTCCAAATTAACTTCGTGAATTCTCAAAGTTTAACCTCAGATCAGTCCATTGCTAATGCACCTTAAGCCTTTTTTTTTTTTTAAATACCTGCAGATTACCTCAGAAAAATCAGATGCACAAGACACTGACACAACTAAAGAAAGCACGTTTCCTTTGCTTTTACATCCCATCTTTGTGCAAGTTTTGATTGGGAGTTTTCTTCACAGTAGCTAGTATGAGGCTGTTTTGGCTGTGCGGAGAATACTGACAGCATCCCAACATTTTCAGTTGTGCTGTGTCAACTCAAGAATTTATTTTTAATCAGTTTCTGACACTGCACCTGTGTTCCAGCTTCTTCTCTACCAGAAGCTGGGAGGAGACGCAGCCCAGACAGCTGATGCAAACCAACCAAAGGGACACTTAATACCACAAAACGTCACGCTCAGTATGTAAATTGGGGGTTGGGCCAAGGGGAATCTCACTCTTCTCCCGCCTCTGGCTCTCGTCAGTCAGCAGATGGCGTGTGGATGTGTGAGTGGTTTCCTTTTCCATTATTTTTATTACATATTAGTATTGTTTGTATTATTTTTATCATTATTTTATTTCACTGACTTTCAATTATTAAATTATTTTAACCCACCAGGTTCCTTATTTTTTCCTCTGATTCTACTCCTCCACTGGAGGAGGGAGAGGTGAGCGATCGGCTGTGTGGTACCTAACTGCTGGCTGGGATTAAACCACATTATTCCGTAAGGAATAAGCATACAAAGAATCCATCTCCATATACTTCTCAGCAGGGTTCAGCTATTCAGAGTAATTCAGAGTAGGTCATTTGTGATAGCATACCTAGTGGCAGAATGGATAAAATCTCATTGCTAAAGTACACTGACTCTTACCCTGTAATTTATGTAGTAAGTCTAATGGTATTTCATGTACTGCTGATGCCATTTCATCCAGATGTTGACAGGATACCAGCAAAGATGTCAGCGAAACTTTTTTTTCATTAAGAGATACTGGTGTTGGTGTCCTGGTAAATTCTTCATCCAAGCGGAAGTGTTCCAGAGGACTGCACAATCTCTCTCTCTCTCTTTTTTGTGGTGAAAAACTTAGGTCTGACCTACAACTGACATATTCACCTCCACTATGTGTTTGATGCAGCTCCTCTTCACTTCTTGATGTAGTCTTTTCCAGCACTTCAGGTGTGTGCAACATGGACTGTCGACAAAGCTTTAACTTTTGAATATCCCCCTTATTTTTCAAACCATCTGCAACATGTGACATGTCTATTATATCAAAATAAGACTCTGAGCTTTCAGATTTGTTGGGATCTACATTATCAGGTTCTTCTGGAAGGGTCTCATCCATTATCCTCAGAGAGGCAGCATCATGACTGATAGAGCTTAGCAATGAAGATACACCACAGTGCAACGTCCCACCCATTAAGGAACACCGAAAATGGTCTGAAGGAAAAACCTTGGTTCTATTGTTTTCCAAGTAAGTATCTGGTGCTTTCATTCTCTTTGTTACACACTGACAATCTTGTTCCTCTGAATCTTCTACAATACATTTGTCCAAAGCAATACATGCTAATTCCTGTTCTTCAGTTCTTTCACCCTCTCGGATTCCAAATGTTTCCAGAATTGAAGCTCCAACGATCTGACTTCCTGTCATATGCTTCCAAGGTCTCAGTTCTGTAATATTTAATTGGGACTTTGCATCTGACAACAAAGAATCAGGGTCAGGTACAGAAGATGCAGTGGTACAGAATCTAGAATCTGACACTTTCTGCATTATAGGTCTACCATCAACTCGAGCTTCTTCTGTCACTGCTTCGGTTGAGGTCAGCTCTACGTCTGATGAGCCCTCAGTCTGAATAGCTCTTCTCCATGAGCTTCTAATTTCAGTAACTAAATGCAAAAAAACGATGCAAAATTTTAGTACTTTCATACTCTCAATCAACCTGTTTTCTTCTGTCCCTTCAGTAACATAAGCAAACAAGGAAGGAAGATATATAGCTGGTTTATATTGTTTATGCTTAGTTTTATTTCTCAAAGGGGATTCTACACAGGAAGAAAACAACAACAACAAAAAATGCTAAATCAAATTCACAGTATTCACATCTTACTAGGCCTACTATGTTGTGTTACAGAGTAAGCCATGAGGAAACCTGCAGCTTCACGGAAATAATTATCATTTTCTTCTTGTGTGATGCGTACAATGTCAAAGAACTAACCATATTCCTAATCCATATGATAAGACCAGAGAGTTTTAGACTTACGCAGATTTTCTGGAGTTCGGGGAATTTGTTTCCTTGTTAAAAATGGGTTAGAAGCCAGTGACATCATGAGATCTATTAATGCCATTCCTTCTCCTTCACCACGCTGAGGCGACTCGGACATCACTGCTTTTGCAACCTGTAGGATGTTAGAGAAGGTCAAATTCTGAGAAAGCAAAATTATAACCTCTATTTCTGCCAGTTATGGCTCAAAATAAATCCCATTCTCCAAATAATCCAAAGAGTCTGTACTCCTCTCATTTACTACTTAGGCTCACAGTGAACACACAGTGTCTTACAGACACAAAATAAAGAGAGAATTCACATCTCATTTCAGTCCCCTAAGTTCCCTCATCATCTATGACTCCATCTTTAAAATAAGAAAACATGCTTGGATGGAACATATTTAAGACCCTAGTTGAGAACTGCATCAGCACAAAGGCTAGTGATGTATTTATGTTAGGAAAACATGAAGACAAGCAGATGCAAAATACCTGTACCATTCCAGTGCAAGATGCAAATTACTTTCCAAATCAAGCTGAGGCACATTTTACAGTAACTCTTGAGAAGGGATTCCTCATTTAAATCTTATTTAAGATACTTAAGAGGAAATAGTCCAATTCCTGCTTAAAATTCCTAAGCCTCTGTTAAATATTTAACCTGTGTAACTTCAGAAACCAGAATGTCTGTTGAATTCTTAATATATGCAGTGGTCTGTAGATTACTGTATGAGAGGTGTTAAAAATCATACTATAATTCTACCAAAAGTGCTATTCACTTCAAGATTCATGACACCTGCACAAACTCCATGCTTTCAGGGTGTATTAACACCTCCAAAACTTAGTGACACGATTACTATCCAGCAGAAAAAAGTACTTTTTGACGTATGTGGATTACAAGAGGCATTTTATAATATAATTAGTAATTTGTTCTCTGAACATCCTGACCATTTACAAACAAAACAAACAAGAAGTTTAAAGACAACTTTTCCTAACCTCTTCTGCCAGATCATCTTGAGCTTTCTTTAGAAGGTTGTCTTCTTTGTCAGGAGACTCTGCCTGGGTAACATCATCACCTGAATTCTCGCACATTTCTGAAACTGTGGGCTGGTCCTTTCTATTTTTCAAGATCTCTGAAGGCAGAGACTTTTCTTTTTCCTTGCAAGTTTCAATAGGCAAGTTTCAAAGGAATACACAAGAATTATTACAAGTTTCAAGATCACAAGTCAAGTGTCAGAAAATCAGCATGAAGAAAATGCTGTACAAATTCTGAGCAGCAATGGCCTTAGTCTCTAGTCCATAAAACCACTTCGGTCTTAAACCAAGCACTCAGCATTTTTACAATTCGTATTTAAAGTTGGACGTTAAGTAGTGGCTAGGATAGGGCGTTGCACACAGCACAGGTGACTCACGTGCAATGCACTGCAGCAAACAACTGTGCAACGGACAACTGTACATCCAGGTTGCTCTTAGGAACATTATACCCCTTATGTTCACACACAACTTAACGAAACATCGAAGGCTGACCACTGCTCACGCCAAAAAGACTGCCCACTCTCCTTTCCTAAAGCTTAATGAAGTCCCTGGCAGTTAGCGTCTGCAGTGTCATAGAACTGATTCAGATGTTTAAAAATACTACTGAAAAAAAGAAAAACAACACACCCACCCAAAACCAAACAAACAAGCTACCACAGCCCTCCTACCCAACACCGCCCACCCCAGATACTAGGTCTAGGCCTCAACCAGTGTAAAAAGCAAATAATATCCTAAGTTTAACTTCTTTGACAGGTAGGAAATTACTACCTCTTCCATGGACATGTCTCTGTCTTCAGGTTCTTCTGACAACGCCAGAGGCACTGAAGTCGGACTGGGGATGTAAGTGGAAGGATGGAAGGGGGGAGGAAAAAAATGAGGTTTTAGAGACAACTTAAACAAGTACCATGCAAGTCTTAGCATAAAGCCACTACATATTGTGTGCCCCGTATCTGTCCGTTACGATTTCCCTCAATTCGTCCCGGTCATCAGAAGGCAATTTTACTCTAGGGAGAGCATGTGACAATTAAGGCAGATTTAGCCCTCATTGTGTATCAGCCTCCCATCATTAATAAAAAATTACGAAACTTTTCCCTTGACTACCAAACAGCTAAAGAAGGGATTTTATAATACATTTTCTAAACAAGTCTTTGGTATGCCACAATCAAAGACAACTGGAAAGTCTTCTGCAGACTTATTCCCTAGACATTCTTCCTCTGAATCACCTCTGGCATCCACAGGTCTGCTCCTACAGGAACTTAGTGATATTTAACAATCACCAGGCTACTAAAAACTTGACTCATCACTTCTGCTGAGCATCGTGTTAATTGCATAGCTCTCTAAAACATAATCACCTTAAAACATTAATATTTGCTGTTATCTCTCTAGAAGCAGCCAAAATCCATGCTGTAGGAAGACATTGACAGCAATCCAGGCTGTAATTGTTAATCCCTTCAACAACTTTAGAGGCCTCTATGCAACTACACCTCCTGATATCTAAGTATAGGACAGCCTTGCTTTTAGTTCCCTTTTTCTCCAGAAGGCAACTTTCCAGTATCTGTAGGAGTCATACTGTGAAGTACATTATTATTCAAAAGGTCATGAAACCTTCCTGAATTAAGGACAGGACATATGGGAAAAAACTTTTTTAGAATACTGCTGTTGTGTTCCACCCTTTGCTGCACTTGTAGTAAGAGAAGTTACAGATCAAAGTAATTTTACAAGACTAATGAGAAAAGCCTTATTGAGAAGGTTTAGTACAGTATTTCTGCTTGGGAGTCAGGGGTTTTTGTTTTGGTTTGGGTTTAGTGAGTTTTTTAAAGCACAAAAGTAGGGTTCCTGTGAATGTCTGTTCTCTCATTCTCAGCCTATTCTGAACATCTGTGCCTAGCTCAGCCCAGCCTGAGAAACAGAATTCTGTTTTCTCCACCCACCTCTTATAACTTGAAAGAATGTAGATTAAAAAGTGAGAGAAAAACCTTGCAACTTGGCACCTGCACATCCTATTCAGCAGCAACCAGCTCACCAGTCAGTCACCAGCTGGAGAAAGGGGCAGTTACTTTAGGACAGTCTTGCTAAAACAGCAGGATGTGACACATAAGGAGCGATCTACTGAAATACTGTACTAAGGACCAAGAGATGCAATATATTCCACTCTAACAAGTAAATTTATATTTTTTCCATTGCTTTTTTATCCTTTTCTCATTCATATCATACCATCCTAGGGGTGGTGTTGACTGGTGGTGTTGATCACCATCCTCGTGGTGTGTTGAAATCATAGTTCTCAATGCCCTATCAGGTTCCTCACAACTTTCTTCATTAATAAAGTCCCGAAAATCTAGAAAAGCAAGTCAAGACTTTTATTATTGCTTCCATTCTTTGTTTTGGCTTCCCAGGTGACAAAAGTGACTCAGACCAGTTCTGCAGACTATTCACCAGGATAGACTTTACGAACACTTCAGGAAAAATAAATTAATACACAAGTAGGACAGTGAAAATGTTTTTGCTCAGGTACCAACTGCAGCCACAGATGCCACGAGCAGCCAGCACCTATTTGTGTCGTTCCTGAACGCACACATTTGAGAGGCATAATTCTATCTTCTACCCTACAAGTACCAATCATACATTTCACGTTCCTCCATACTACAATCCCAGACACGTCATTATTAGCCACTCTTCTCCACATAGGCATCGAATGTGTGGCACATCAGTACCAGAGAGCAAAATGCCACCCACATTTTCCCTGCAGTCTTCACCTGCATTCGTCAGTAAATATCTCTGTAATAAATAACTCATCCCTCTAATCAATGCTGCCTCAGTCCAAGCAAGGCAAGGACTCAGCTCCAAGTAACTTTCATCAACTGTGGCAGAGGGGGAGAGGGAAAAGAAGCTTCTCCTGTTCACTCACCTAAAGTCAGGTGTTGCCGAAAGACTCTATCCTCATTATCTTCTGCAAGGTTAACAGAACTGGGCAGCAAAGTTCTTATATCAAGCTCCTTTCAAATGAACAAAAAGTTATACAAGCAGGCTGAAAAAAATCTGCATATGAACAGCAGTTAACAGACAATTATTTACAACAGCTTTTCTGCAAAACAGCTGCCTAAATCAACATGAAACTTTTCCTCTCTCTGCTGGGTAGATAGGCAAGGCTATAACCTCAGACCTCTGTATAAAGGTGTCAGAATGGAAGTTATTGTTTATTTATCAAGAAGATCCCTTTAGACGGGAAAAGCAGAACTCATCAGATGTTCAGATTGACAGCACAGGAAAGCTCAGCTTCCATGGGGGGATGGACACAGACAAAACCAAAACCAATCAGTTCGCTCTTCTGACAATCTACTGTCTTGACAAGATGGTTTCACCCCCCATCTCAAATGAAGACACAAGCTGTCATTAAGTCAAAAGTATCTTGACTTAAAAGATACTCGATACTTAAAAGATTCTTAAAAGAAAGACTATTTCATAAAGCAATTTCTGCTGTACTATGCTATCTGATTCCCCAACCTTACACATACAGCATGTGTTGCAGTAGGACACACCAGCTTTTGACACACATCCTCTCTCATCTTCACCCCTTCCCCAGAATCACAGAAGTTGAACACTACTTACTGGTTCTTGAGCTAAGATTAAATTCAAAGGACACTGGCCAAGAAAGCTTTTCCACTTCCCTTCCCAGTCTTCCTGTTCTCTAGAAATAGAGGCATTCAACACACAATGTTGTTGCTCTCTTTTTAGCCTGTAAAATAGGAGCGTGGAAAATCAACATAAAATATCTGTCAGTGAAGATATCAATTCTGCATAAAGATGGAGAATATTATGTGTTCCCCTTATCCTGCAAACTCTTTGGGTATGTATCAACCTACTCATGTATTTGTGCGTGCATTAAGAACTAACTGAAATTCACAGCCTAAAAAAGCAAGTCCTAGGTAGTCTCAATGTATCTCACAGTAGAACTGGAAGAACTGCACTAAAATACATACACACAATGAGATGCACTTAAACTTTCCCTAAGCCTGTTTCAGACAAAGTTTTAAAATCCCAGAACTGATTAACATAACAAGAAAACAGAAAAAGAAAAACCTATCAGCCAACTGTGCCCAGGAACAAAGCCTAAAATATAAACAAAGCAAGGGCAAAAAGCTGAAGTAACCTAGAGAAGAAGCTCAGTTATGTTATACAGATAAATCAAGACAAATGTGAGTTTCCGAGAGGCAAATGAAAAAGGTTAAACCAACTATAATTCTCACTATAAATGATACTGTTTTAGAAAAGACACCAGGGAGAATGACATGATCCTTAGACTAAATAGCAATGAACCAGAGAAAACTTCCAGACAGTTACCTCTTTGCTTTAGCCTCTTGTAGTACTTTATTGCTGAGTGTAACCTTATTTTCAATGACCTGAAATTGTTGTTTTAATTCCGACTGACAACGTTCATCTCTTAGTGCCCTCAGGCTTTCATTTAACAACTGGATGATGGTTAAGAAATTCAGTTTTCCATCTTCATAGGTATTTCCTGTACAAAGCTTGAAGTAGACCAAGCAAGAAACAAACGAATTAGTGAACAGCATCAGTATCATAAAGTTACATCTTCTGTAGTCAAAGCAGGAATAGAAAGTCTCGCTTTGTATTTTGGCTCAACTCCCAATTGTTTCATTTAAAAAAAAAAAAAAAAAAACAACCACCACTCTAGATTTAAGTCTCATGTTTGTTTTCTGAAGTCAGCTGCCTGAAAGCAGCCCAGAAACCAACACAAACTAAGATGACTTTAGTATTCTGTTTAAGCACTGACCCAAAAGTTGTTGCGTGCCTAAACAGCTCCATATACTACACAGTGGAAACAAAAGCCCATTAGTTAAAGCCATAGTTAAACTGGTCAACCTAGTTTTTATGTTTAAACAACAAAACCAAAAAAAAACTCACCACACACACCCCCCACCACAAAAAAAACAAAACACCAAAAAAACACACCCACACAAACAACAAGTACTAATCAGGCAGAGTTACCAGTGCAGTTATGGAACTTAAAGTTAATGGTTGAAACATAACCAGTACAAAACAGCAGCATAATGATAACCAAATTTTACATACAAATTAGATGTATTTTCTCCTGAGCAGCCATCTCTTATCACCTGTAAAGTATGTTTTTTTTAGAAGGTATCTAATCACAAGACTGGGGGTTAAAGCTAAATACAGTTTAGCAAGAAGGACAAAAACCACTTACTTGGTGTACGTCATTTGCAACTCTGTGAACCAAGGGCTGTGGAACACGCAAATCCACAGTAGTTCCATCTAAAACGCACTTATCAACACAACATTCAAGTACAGAATCCACAACTTCCTTTTTCAGAGATGTAAGCGCTTCTATTATAAGTGTCCACATACTGCGGACCTTAATAGGCAAGAAGGACAAAAATTGTATGTTAAAATGTTTGCCACCTATAATAACAGAGTATCAGAACAGCATCAAAGCAGATGAGGAGGCTGCTCACATAATCACAGGTAGGCAAGTGAAAATAACAGTACGTAAGTGTTGCAGAAATATAAGAAATACAGTACATTGCCACAGCAGAAATGCTCACCTTTTGAATTCGCTCAGTTTTGCCTTCTTTGTTTTGACCGTTTTTTTTCATCCTATATGCACATGCAAAACAAAAGTTCAAGTGGATCACAATGAAATTACAGTTTATATTCCATAAAACTGAGTCAGAAATTGATTTTATATATGCCAACTTAGGTTCAACGAAAAAAC